TTCCTTTATGAATAAGATTAGATACAGATGTTTTGCCTCATCTGGAGGGTGTTAGAATCATGGCACGTGGTATTTTTCCTTATGCATCAGAGTTAAAAGACCTTGCTGTATGTTCTGCTTGCAAGACTTGCTCTCTCCTTGACTTTGGGCAGAGCATTTTACATTTCTATATACATCACCTTATATAAAAAATATGTAAATAACTTAGAAGAGAATGTACTGAAGAACCATTAAATAATTTTTATGATTACTAAATTACAAATGGTGTTTTAAATACAAAATAGTTGAGATGCCAATGAAAAAAGTTGAAGACAAAACTTGCAGCTAGGCAACTGGTACTTGGGATGAGCGAAATCTCTCTGCAGTGTCCAGTTTTCACGTTCCGGGAAGTCTGTCTCTTACACACTGGAAGCAATGAATATATTTCCTTCTTTGGGAACTCATGGCAAAGCAGCTTTCAGGCAAGCCAATGCATGGCCACATTTGATGGGCTGAATCAATTTATGTTCCTAAACTGACAGGTGGTTTTGAGCAGTTCATAAGGGATTTAGTTGGCGCAGTGCAAAATGCAGCCTACAGGTCAATGATATTTGGATAAACAGAAATTAATAACCAATGGCCAATACTGTTACCCTTGGTTATGCCAGATAATGCCATTCTTTCCGAGTTGTCTGACTGAAATAAATTAAAATACTTTCAGGTTGAAGACATATTTGCTGTGAGGTAAAGGGATGATAAAATTGGCCTCATACAATGAGTCAGATGTTTTGGTCTTTGTCAGGAAACAGTATCAGAACAAATGCACAATTACTAGGGTGACACCCCCCACCCACCTCAAACCCAACATCATAATTTTTGAATGTGTTTTTAGATTTTTCTCTTATTTTCTAGAAACAGTCTACCATGGTATGTGGCTTGCTTCTGTTCCCACTGAAGTCAATAGCAAAACTGCCAGTGACTGATGGAAAAAGCCCCTGAAAAATGTCTCAAAAGCATTGGTTTCACTTTGGTAAATTGAATTTATTGGCCAAAAAATTAGATTTATAATTGTTTGCTTCAATCTTAGTTACAGAGAGACTGGCATCTCTTTACATCAATTTCACTAAATTTGTTCCTTCTGACATGCTCTAAAAAGATGTATTACCCAAATTTTAAGCCAAAATTGGAAGATAAGCTCTTAGCAATATAAAGAGAATCCAAATTCAATGTACAAGAACAATGACCAAAAGCTCAATGCTACCTCTTGCTACTTTACATTAATATTTTTGTTTTGCTTACAGTGCTTGTTTTCTCAAATATCCCACTTGCCTTTTTTTGACTTTTAACCCTGAACTGTTCCGTTATCAGAAATTTCTATGTATAAGTAATAGCAATTTTGTATTGAAGTTATTGTTGCTGTTTAATAGGGCAAGAAGGAATGTTTGCTTCTTGTAGTGTGAAGGGGGGTGGATTACTTTTATATATCTTTTTGGGAGACTGCTATCAATAAATCAGTGTGGTTTGAGCAAGCTGTTGGTTAGGTTCAGCTCTTAATGCTTGGGGGATGCCACAGAACCACTGTGGAGTTTGGCTCAGGTGTAAGCCACTTCTTTTTTTTTTTAAATACCTTTCAAAAGAAAAGCCCATACTTCACAGGATCTTAAACCTGGCAACTACTTACAGAACTGTTTTTCTTGTGTACTGCTTGCTAGCATTGTGTTTGCTTCTTGCAACAGCGCCTCCGCTCCCTGAGAGCCTTAAAAACATGCTTGAAGTGCTAGATCACTGTCCTCCTGTGCCAATACTAAACATAAACTTTTCCACATGAGTCAACTGAGTGAAGTTCAGATGTTTTAAGAAGAGTTTGGTTTTCATTTGCCCGAAGGCTACTCTGCTAAAAAATTTTCAGTGACCTCATAGCTGAAGGTGACTGAAAATTTGTCCTTTTAGCTATTAAATAACTCAACTGTTCTGCACAGCTTTGTGAACTTGGATTATAATTTTTGTGTTCCAATTTTTGTAACTTGATTTTTGATTTATATGAAAATTGCATAGACCTTGAGATGTCACTGTTGGCATACCTCTTCGACTAAAATTTGCCTGATGCATTTGTAGGATATGAAAATGCTGTTAAACTAGATCAGCAGTCCCTGGTATGCTAGGATAGAAGGAAAAGCCTCTCTTTGGGTGCAACTTCATTATGTTTTCTCTCTGAAGTCTTGAAACAAATGTGCTGTGCAGCTTGTTTCTTTCTTCCTGCAACCTCTGTCTTGTTGTAGCTGGCTCTAGCAGCTCCAGCACAATCCATCTTCTTAGGCTTTTTCTAGCAGGAATTTGTTATCCTGAAAAGAATAGAGAATTTGCCGAGATGTTCAGGCTGTGTGGGCAGCTTTTGCTGGTGGAACAGCCATGTCCTCCCAGTCATGCCACCGGGATGCTATGTGGGCTCTGTGGATATTACGCGGGATCTGTCATTCTATGGGAGACTCCTTGATGGAGATGGAAGCTCATAAGATATCCATGAGACTTGTACTTGCAAAAGTGTTGATAACTAATAAAGTGAAGTCATTCCACTTTCCATAGTACAGCAAGCAGAAAAGATGTCTGTCATGTATGAGTCATCATAGATTTCAGCTCCAGCAGAAGGGTGTTTGTTAGGGTGCAGTATTCAAAAGCTGGTGGCCACAACACACAGCATAATTAATTATTTAGCTGCCTTTGTGTGAGTATCTGGATTCAGGATGATATTCTTGCATGGATATCTGTTGTGATTGGAGAAGCTAGAGCTCTGTCTTCAATATGTCATAATTTCTTGAGCCTGCAGTCATGTCTGAGTGTTAGTTAATGTATTTTTGTCCTGATCTCTTTTAACATTGTGCAGGACAACACCTTTCTCCATGCCCATCTAAAGCTAGCTTTGCTGTACTGACCCTTGGTGTGCTGTCATCACAGTGTATGTGGAAGGCCACTACTTCAAAATTAGAGAGAGGGTGGTGGAGAAGATAGATGCTAGCGGCAAGCAGATAACATCATTCAGAGAACCATTTTATCCAAGGTTAATGGAAGATCAGACACAGTATCTATCAGCTGAAGCAAGATCAAAGTAATCTGTTAAACACTGAGAACTATAACTCTGTTCCTGAACTGTCGTGATGTACTGGTGATGTACCTGCAACATTTTGATAGTGTTTGACAGGTAGTATTTGACTATTCATTAACACAAATACCTTCTGTGCTGCTCTAAGTATCTATTTTTCTGTTCTTGGATGGAAATTAAAAGTTTGAGTGGAGAAAAGTAAGTGAGAGAAAGCATCTAATACTCGCAAAGAGGTAATACACATAGCAGCAGCTGAGTAAACAGTAAAGAGGATGGCCCCTGTAGCTCTGGTGGGTTAGCCCTGGCCAGCAGCCAAACACCCACCCAGCCGCTTACTCCCCCCTGCCTCAGGGGCATGAGGGGAGAAAATAAGATGAGAAAGCTCATGGGTTGAGATAAAGACAGGGAGACTGCTTATCAATTACTGTTGCAGGCAAAACTCAGCTTAGGGAAAATTAATTTATTGCCAATTAAAATAGATTTGGGTAGAGAGAAATGAAAGACATTAAAACAACAGCTTTCCTCCCATTTTTTTCCCAGGTTGAGCTTCACTTCTTCATTCCTGACACCTCTAGTCTCCGCCTGCCCTGAGTGGCATGGGGCAGGGAGTGATGTTTGTGGTCAGTATGTAGCAATTTTTCCTTGCCACTACTGCCTCCTCACACTTTTTCCCCTGCTTTGACGTGTGTTCCCCATGGGCTGCAGTCCTTCAGGGAAAAATCTGCTCAGCGTGGGTGCTCTGCGGGCCGCAGTTCCTTCAGGACTCCTCCTCCTCCACGCGCTGCAGGGGAGTTTCTGCTCTGGTGCCTGGGGCCCCTTCCCTTCCCCCTTCTCTGACCTTGGTGTTCACAGGGTTGTTTGTCACTTGTTTTTTCCTCCTCCTCTGCCTTTACGGTGTTTTCTGCCCTTGCTTAAATATCTTTTCACTGACGGGCTCAGCTGTGCTCTGCGGTGGGGCCCTTGCGGAGCCGGCTGGAACCAGCTGTGTCTGCCTTGGGGCAGGTCCAGCCTCTCCTCACAGAGGCCGCCCACCCCTGCAGCCCTGGGCTGCCAGACCTGGGCACTGCATGCAACATGGCAGCCCAGTGTCTGAGTTAGGCCCTGGGTAGCTCCTGCCTTCATCAGTACATTTTTTTTGTACCTGGGATTCAAGAAACATGCTGAAGTTTTTCTCCAGATGAAAAGATTAATACCCCCTGGCCACAGTCTTGCGGCTGAAAGCATTTTCTGGTCAAAACATTTTGTATTACCTTTAAGTCATTTTTGAGAGCAAGATATGAGCGCGTGGTGAGCTCTGCACCATCTCAAAGGTGCTGATGCGTGAAACTGGGTTGTCTGCCCCTTCAGTGAGGCCACCATCTTTGAAAAAGGGACCTGCTTTTAAAAACCAACTTGCAGAGTCCTTTCTAACTGCAGGATTTTTAAGAAGTACTGGTTATAATGGGGTGTTCAGTGGTATCTGTGTTGTACAGGCAGTCCTAAAGAGTTACTTGATAATGTTATGATATTATGCAAGATAGGATAATGACCCCTTGTCTTTGCCTGAGAATTGTAAATTCCTTAAGCCTTTCCATAGGGGTTTTTGAAATAATGTAATATCACCTTCATCTTCTGTGAGAATGCAGACCAATGTATTTGTGTTTGTAGTGGATAGCTGTTAGGAAGGGAAGTAAAAAACTGGGAGATGTGTTGGATTAAATAGTGACTGTCAACAGATTTCTTTGCTGCAGAGCTACTTTGGAGCGAGGGTGTTTATTCACTCTTTCTCTCACATTTTTCTTTATTAAGGTGCAGTTCAGCTGAGATTGAATTCCTCTTTGGCTGTCCATAAACTGTGAAACAGAAGGATGCAGAAGACTTTTCCTTGCCTTTTTGTACATGAGTGACAAGAGCACAAGATCATTACTACAAGTTTGCTGCAAAGATGAGTTCAGAGGAGAAGACCATATCTCCAGCTCACAAAACATCCACTCCATCACATAGAAGTGCCTCCTCTTCATCATCATCTCAGAGAGACAGGAGGCAGGTAAGGAAAAGATCTAGATGTTTGTAATATCTGGTGAAATGATTCATTTATTCCTGGCTGTTACTTCTTGATAGCTCTGAATTTACTTGCTTATAGGACTGGATGATATCACTATAGCTGAGAACTGTTGATTTTTTTAAAATTTTTTTTTTCCACTTTCTGAAGTGGTTTGAAAAAAATTCAGAAGCAACATGGGCACTATGTGTAGTGCTGGAGTGGGAAGGATATAATCACATGGACAAATAGGAAACATGCTCTGAAGTCTTTTAGGAAGTGGTTTCTTTGGCAGCATGAACCTACAGTGTTGCTTCAAGTTGTTTCGTGCCCTCTGGGAATACCTCTTTTTGTAAATCTAACTACAGAGATGTATTATCTTTTTACAAGGTGATATTTCAATTCAATTTAAATATCATCTTATTCATCCCTTTTGGAAGCAGCTAACATTTTAAATATTATTTGGTTTACTACAGATTTACACTGATTGTCCCATGTCATATAGTACTAGTTCAGTTATGTTAGACTACCATTTTCAAGAGACCCTTGTCTATGTGGATGTAATACATCTTGTCCCCAGGACCCCTTTCAGATGAGGGCTGTATTATTTTCCCTCGAAACATCTTAGGCATTCCTGTGTTTTTTTGAGGGCTGGGTGTACAGTCTGGCCTCAGCATCAGTGGGAGCACTTCAGAAAGTATCAGAGCTACCCACTAGATTCCAGATAGTTGTTACATGTATATTTACAAATGCAAAGGTTAATACTGAAAATTTGATTAGAAGAGAAGCATGCTTTAAAACCTTGATCCATGGAAACCTTGAACACTAAATCAGCTTCTATGTTAGTTTTACACCATCATGTTTAAAAAAGAAAAGTACAAAATGTAAGAATATAACAACTTTATAATTTAAAATATTGTGAAAATATTTTCATTAATGCAATACTGGCTTCTTTTCAGCTTGACAAGGAAAAGAGACAGGAAGAGAACTTAAGTAATTGTTTGCTGTGGTATGCTTTTACTTGAATGGCTGTAGCTTAAGAACATTTTCCCAGCTACTTGTGTGCCAGCTGTGACACTATTTTCTCAGCTGCTGCTGAAGTAGGTTTTTTCCCTTACCTGACTTATAAAAATTTTGAAAACAGAGAATTTTGATGAAAACTGTAACATTTGCAGCTTTGAATGTAAATAGTCTCACCATAAGGTATATTTAAAATGTTAAACCAGGAGAAGAATTCTGATGTGTGTTCAGTAACAGGCAGGAAATGTGTCTGTTTTTTTTTTAAATAATTTCCATTGCTTTTCAGTGAAGCCAAAAATGATGTTCTCACAGGTGATAAATATTTTCCCTTTCATGCTGTACAGGATTTGGGATAGCTGTACTCAGTTAAGTCCTGGTTAGCATATGATATCCTCTTAATTTTTCATTACGTCCGTCTGGAGCAAGACTTTCACATCTTTTGTTTAAAGCATCAGTATATTTTATCTCCTGCATTTAAACCCAAAGAAGGTGAATGCAAGACTTGTAGGAGCTGCTGAGCTCAGCTAAGAGCATATCCTCTGAGTTCTCTTTGTAATTAGGTAGGTTGGTACGATCATGCAAGTGAGGATGAAAAAAAATTACCTTTTGGGAATACATTTTACCATAAATCTTAATGGCTACCATATCTGTTACCATAGCAACAGAGTAGAGCAAGGTATACCTGTCATCATAATGAAATGGATGCTTAACTTTAAGTCCATATTTGGCCACTGAAACATGAAACATGATTTTAAACTAATGCTGAAGAGGTTGATGGTGTGATGCATCCAGAGCTCTCTTTGATCCAATAATGTCTGATGATGCTTAACAAGTATATTTAAGCATGTAAATGTGGACTGGAAAGGCTACTGCTAGGCATTCATTTTTTTGCCTTAGTGCTTTCAGTGTTAAAGGCAGAGAAATATCCAGGAGAATGAATTGATGGGCAATTTCTTCTGCAGTGAAACTGAGCTACAGCATGCAACACAGCGTGAAGTGCAATGGTACTATATCTAGGGAAATAAACATACAAATGTTTCCTTTGTGCATGTTGACACAGTAAATCAACCAGCTCCATCATACCATATATGATAACAACTGTATTTCTATTTTCTTTCTCTACTTGTGGCATTATTTTTACATGTTTTGGTTTTCATAGGCTTTCCCCAAATGCAGTGATAGCTAGGGGGTAGACTATTTTGGTTCAGGGGCTGTTGGGTTTTACTTTGAAAAGGCTCGAAGGTTCTGTCTTGCTGCCTCCTTGGACTCTTCATAGCAGCTAGGAGAAAAGCACCGTTCCTCAAGGGGTAATATGTATGGATATGGAAAGTGATGTGACTGGATGAAGTGTCAACGTAGCTTTCATTGTCATAAATGAGGATAACACTTGATATTTCTAGATGGTTAATGACTGAAATCTTCTCATCATATAATTCTTGTCAAAGTCATACTAGCAATTATGGAACAGTTTCCCAATAAATTACAGCGCGGGAGGCTGAATGAGTGTGAACATGACTATGATATATTATTTCAGGGAGAATGGAAAATGTCATGCTGTATATAATGCTGGCATTTTAATGTAGCTTTCTTATTTGTGCAATATACATCACCTAAGAGAATTAGCAGTCAGCAAAAGCTTTGACATGGCCAATCTGGAGGCTCCATGACTAAGTGATTGATAAATGAACAGACTACTGAAGCTAGCAATAACCAAAAAAATGGGTTCAGATTTTTGTTGTCATAGGAACTTTAGTGTCATCCATTTTTGTCAAAATTGTGGTTAATTTGGACTATTAGATAGAAGAAGGCCCAGGACCAACCTGTTTTGTTTAGCCCCTGAGCTGAGCATGGTGGCAGGGCAGTTGTGGTGTCCTTGATAAGGAATACTTTAGAATGGAGCAACAACAGTTTTTCCTACTGTGGAGCTGTTGCAGAGTGTAGAACCTGTCATTTCGACTGTCAGGGGATCTCCCTCAGAAAACTAAGAGTCCCCATACCAAGGCGAGAATAAAAACTGCAATTTTGACAGCCTTTTTTGTGGGCCATGCTGGAAAGGGAGATTCCTGGTTTTCATCCTTTGTCAAACTCTGAAAAGGCTAGTCATGTTCTGTTGCACAGCAAAAAAGAGGAAGACTAACACTGTTTTTAGAAAGTACAGCTGAATATGATAAAATCATATGTTGTGTATTCAGTTTGATGGGTGTAAGCTCTTTGTAAGTATTCCATGTTTTATTTATTGACTAAGTATGCAAGTCATACTACAGACTGTAATACGTTATATATTCTCTGCAATGCCTGGGTGGTAATATTGTGCTGAGAAGGCAGAAAGAAGTAAATACATTATAGAGTTAACAATGTGCAGTTTGGTAAATTGGGGCCTGACCCCAGGCTATTAAACAGAGGGAGTGATGTAGGAGAGTAATAATAATTAAACTGTGAACAAAGGAGAGATTTTGACTTTTCTGACCACCATCTAAAGGGTAGCTAATACATGATGCGAAGTGGATTTAGCAATGTCTGCTATTTTATATGTGAGGATTTCTCTTCTAATGTCTCGATTTTCTTTTTAGTCTTTTAGTGGGGAAGGGATGATTAGCTGTTACTTCTTTCTCTCTCTCTTTGTCAGATTGCTGTTTCAACAGATCCTTGGTTCTTTTCCCACACAGCAAACACAAAAGGAGAAGAGCTTTTAGTCCTATTGCATTTAGCCTTGTGTGGTCACCTTTGTACTAGGAGAGCTTTCATATTTCAGATGACTATTGTCTTTCAGCCGTATGTAATGAGTGAAAGATAGGGGCTTTGAAGGAAGAAGAAAAAAGATTTTCCAGAGCAGCAATCATCCACTTTTGAGATTTTAATGTATTTGTTGTTTTTTTTTTTCTTTCTGTAAGAGCAATATTGACTAATAGGAGAAGGGGTGTAGTCAAGGGATGCAGAAAGGGCTGAGTTTGGGCTGAAGATGTTTACCTGGCCTTGAATTTAGGAGCAGAACGTGATTCCAGAGTCAAGGCTCTGGTCTTGCCTCGAGGTCTGTGCTTGAAAATGCCTAGTCAGCTTTTTATAGCCACTATATTTTAATTGTCAAAGTAGTCTCCTGAAAGCAATATTTCCTAAGGCGTGTATCACCATTTCGTAGATATAAAGGCTTTAATGATGATGGAAGGATCAAGTCATTTGTCTGCAGCAACCTTAACCAAACCTTAGTTTATAGAGTAACTGGAAGACTATAAAAAAGTTACTGCAGTAGGTGAATCTGGGGGTGAAATATATGGTAGCTGAAAAAAAGGGCTAATAATAATTATTTGGATATAGGGATGCAGTAAAAATCTAGGCCTCCCAGTGCTATGCACTGTATTAAGCACATAATAAAAGGGAGTCGCTAGGATGAAGTGCTGAATAGATGAGACAAGCATAGATTGGGAGCAGAAAAAGAGAGAGGTGACTTGTCTGTTGTGTCATCAACTAATGATGAAGTATAATAAGAAGAGATGCGCATAATAGGAAAATATGATGGGTTTTGTGTTAATTCTAGAGTTTCATGCTTTCAGCTAACGTTAAGAAGAGTAAAAGTAGAATTATGAAGGGAAGTGTCTTGGCTAAGAAAACAACCATCAAGTTTTTCCCAGGAGATAATGAGCTGCAGGGACCATCAGGTTCTGTGAAGCTGAGTTCACATGGGCAATCTGGATGCCACAGCAAGTGGGTGGTGCAGGAGGGAGAAGTAAGAAGTGCCAGGAGTGGAGTGCTTGGCTGTGCAGTGTAGAAAGCAAAAGGTACTTGATTTAGAGAATGAGACTCTTGGATCAGGAAATGAATAGGTGAAAGAAACAAGTAGGGGAGAGAGAACTAGGTGGGCCAAACACTTTGTGAGGTTGTAGGACATGAAACTAAGAAGCAAGGACTGGTTTGTAAGGAGAACAACTGGCTGGAAAAATAAAGGCAGAGTAGAGAGAAGGAAAGCAAGGGGAGAGGTGTTTCTTTGTGAT